GAAGGGGAGAAACCTCTGGCAATGAGAACTTGTTCAATAAACTTCCAACTGATTGTGTCATAAGCTTTTTTGATATCCAATTTGAGAATTAAGTTACCTCCTCTAGTAATTCTTTCCAAATCTAATACCAACTCTTGAGCCAAAAGAACATTATCAACAATACTTCTATCTTTGATGAAGGCTGCCTGATTCTTGCAGATAAGTTGATTCAAATGGGGTTGTAATATATGGACCAGGATTTTGCTTATTATCTTTGAAATAACAGAGGTGAGGTTAATGGGTCTGAAATTTTCCCATTTTTTAGGAGTTTTTTCTTTGGGAACGAAAGTAATAGTAGAGGAGGAGAAATATTTGGGGAGATCAACCCCCCAGAAAAAGCTTGGACTGTTGCAATGACATCTCCCTTCACAATATGCCAGGCCTTTTTATAAAAGTTTATTGTAAACCCATCTGGTCCAGCTACTTTGGTGTTGTCAATAGAATTCAGTGCTTCCCATATTTCCTTTTCATCAGGAATATCAGTGAGAGAGAGGCTTTGGGTGAACTCCCTTTCCTTATCAAATAAGGTGTATTGAATGGCAGGTTGAGAGGCAGAAGTTTCTTTGAAAATGTCTTGAAAGTATTGAACAACATTATCAGCTATGCCTTCAGCAGTTGTAATCCACTGACCCTCCTGAGAAAGGATTTTATGAATGGTGTTGCATTCCCTCGTATAGTTGATGCAAGCATGGTAATATTTACAATTTCTATCCCCATCACAAAATTTCATTCTACTTGCCTTCTGAGCATAGAACTCCTCTTGCATATTTATTGCATCCAACAGATGTTCATTATCAGAATGAAGATCAATTTTAGACCCATTGTCAGAGGTCATGAGCTGTTCTAACTGTAGTACCTTCTGTTCAGCTTCTAGAATTTTACTATCAATATTCCCTACCACCTCCCAATTCCATTTAGAAAGATGTTTACTGACTTTTTTATGTAAAAGCCATAGTTTGATACCAGGGATGTAATGATGAACATCTGCCCAAGCCATAGAGACTTGATTAAGAAAATCGCCATGCATGGACCAAATATTAAGATATCTGAATGAGTAAGGGTCTATGATCAGTCCCACTCATAGCCAAGTGTTGGATAGATGTGTGGAGAAAATCTCTGAATCAAAAATCATTCACCAAAACTCTATCCAGCCTCTCCCAAATCTTCCCCCTTCTCCATGTGTACTTAGGACCAATAAAACCCAAATCAAAAAGTCCAGCAAACTAAATATTGTCATTGAAAAGGTTCACAAGGTTGATATTAGTATATCTCCCACCCTTCTTCTCATTAGGTGAAAAGAGGCAGTTGAAGTCACCCCCAATAGTCTAGAACTCCCTTATAGAATCGCTGAAATCTTGTAACTGTTGCCAAAGTTTATGTCTAGCAGTGGATGTACAACCATCATAAATGAAAGTAGCAAAGCCATAATAGCAATTTAAGTTAATCTTCAAGTGGATAAATTTGTCTCCTTCTTTGAGAACTGTACATTGAATTTCCTGTCTGCAAAAAAGCCAAATTTTACTGTTAGTGTTGACAATAAGCTGAAATCTAGGGAATTTCCTCACAATTTTATTGACATGTTTAGTTATCATAGGCTGAAGTATTGTAATGTTCCAAGGTTTATACATTTTATTAAGGGATTTAGGATTTGTTAATCCCATAACATTCCAACAGATTAGGTTCATTAACCAATTGAGGTGGACTTTCCCCTCCTTCTAGTTCTAATAGTGCTAGAAGAGAAAGGGAGGTCTTCCTCCAAAGAAGAAAAAGAAGGAAGTAGGTTCTTTAATTCCAAAAGAATTTTCTTCTTTTTTGTTTTCTGAATTTGCCATCCCTCTTCTAAATTTTTAGCCAATTGCAATAGCAAAAGGTCTTCCTCAGGTATATCACTAGCTGTTTTCCTTTGTTCAACAGAAGGTGTTGGAAGAGCAGTACACTAGATCTGTTCAACTTGAGTAGATTGTGGGATAAGATGAAGTTGCAAGTCAGGGGTTTTAGAACATTTTGAAAAGAATTATTAGGGTCCACAACCTCTTTTTCCATATTCTGAGGTAATTCAGCCAACTCTATTAAAGTGTCCTCCTGAGTCCTTGTAGTATGGCCAAACATTTTGTAGTGATGGCTTTGTTCAGCTATGATTTTCTGCCAATGTCCACTATGTTCAGTACCTAACAAAATTTCCTCCACATCAGGTAAGGTAATATTTCTTTCAATTAGGATTCTAGCTACTGAGGGTCTGGATAAATTGAAGGTGGGGGCATCCAACTTCAAAGGTCTTCCCAAAGCTTTGCCAATTTTGAAGAGAACTTTGTGGTTGAAGAAATGGAGTTTAAGTCCAGGTAACTTAAACCAAATGAGGACAATGGGTAATTCTTTACTCGGGTCAAAATTAGGAGTCCACTTTAATAGTTTCATTGAGATACCTTCAATCAAAATAGATTATTTAGAGAAAATTCTAGCATAGTCTTCTTCCCTTGTGAGGTTAATGAGAATATGCCTTCCATCAAGAAGACCCACTTTCCAGGCCCCTTTAAATTTCAGTCCATCAAAAAATCTTCTCACAGATTCCATTTTTGGATGGCCCAGTTGAACTTTACCAATTAAGGTGAATTTATAACATTCAGTTAGGCCATTTAAGTCCTCCTCAGTATAGTAGATAACCATTTTCCCACTTTTCTTGCATATAGGTTTGAATAGATGGTCATTACCCTCATGGTACTCTTGAGGAAAAAGCAAGTCATCAAGACTTTGAACATTATTATATCCTTTCCCAACAATGTCAGCAAAGGTGGCCTTAGCCCACTGAATATTTGTGGCTATATCAATTATATTAGTGTCAGTCATCTTTGAAAGAAAACCCCACAGCACATAAACTATCGAAGGGCCAAGGTAACTAGTGGTGCTGTCGATTTCAAGCAAATGAGTAGTAGATGAAGAAGTAGAGCAAGCAAAGGAAACTGTAAAGACAAAACAGTAGAGACAAACCCAAGTAACCAGACAAACAAAACAACAACAGTGGGGCTGAGCAATGGAACAATAATTATTTGAAAAAATCAAAGCCCGAGAAGAGGTAAAGAGCTAGAGAAAAGCAAAACTTGAAGAAACCAGTGATGAGAGGAGAGTAAACTAGTTGAACTTGAGAAGGCAGCAGACTGGGTCATCTACAACAACAACTAGATCCATTCTGTCGAAACCCTAGCAGAGCACCAAAGAAACCAGCCGCCACTCATGATGATATCACACACACACACACACACACACACACACACACACACACACACACACACACACACATATATATATGGGTTGCCTCCCACAAAGCGCTTGGTTTAACATCGTCAGCCCGACGTACCATTGGTTTAGTTATGTTGACTTAATATTAAAACCTCTTTAAATTGTGATATGTGCCCTTCATAATAATGTTTCGATCGATGCCCATTAACATTAAAGATTTTTCCAGTTGTAGGATTTTTAATAACAACAGTTCTGTAATGATAGACTTTAATCACTTTAAATGGTCCTACCCATGTGGATTTTGATTTTTGTGGAAATAATCTCAATCTTGTATTATAAAATAAAACTTCTTGTCCAGGTTCAAACTTCTTTTTAATAATCTTATGATCATACCATATTTTCATTTTCTCTTTATTGATTTTTGCATTATCACATGCTTCATTTCTAATCTCCTCAAGTTCATTGAGTTGCAATAATGTTTTCTCACCAGCAACTTCTAGATTGAAATTAAATTCCTTAATAGCCCAAAATGTTTTATACTTCAATTCTATCAGTAAATGAAAAGTTTTTTTTTCCAAAAATAAGTTTATATGGGGACATTCTTATAAGATTCTTATAAGCAGTTTTATATGCCCATAATGCAGTATCTAGTCTAGCTGACCAATCCAATTTATAAGGAACTATAGCTTTTTCTAGAATTTGTTTTATTTTACGGTTTTATATCTTTGTTAGACCACTAGTATGAGGATGATAAGAAGTAGATACTCTATGCATAATATCATATTTCTGAATCAATTTTTTGATTCTCGTATTCATAAAATGAGATCCTCCATCTGTAATAATTACTCTTGACATTCGATTCCATATCTTGTAAAAATAATTTTAATTAAAAATTTAGAAACACTCTGAGCATCACATCTAGGTACAAAAATAACTTCAATCCATTTGAACATTGAATCAAGAACAAGTAATATATATAAATTTTCAAATGAGGGCATAAATGGTCCCATAAAATATACTCCCCACACATCAAAAATTTCAACTTCTAATGTGTAATTTAGAGGCATTTCATTTCTTCTAAAAATAATTCATACTCGCTGACATCGATCGCACATTTTAATATATTCATTAACATCTCTAAAAAAAGTAGGCCAATAAAATCCATCTTGCAAAATCTTATATGCGATTTAATTTGTTTCAAAATGTCCTCCAAATTCGGAATCATGACATCTTTCAATTATTTGTTGAGTTTCTTCATAAGGCACACACCTTCTAATAAATAGATCTTTACACTATTTATATAATATGGATCATCCCAAAAATAGAATTTTGAATCATAAATAAATTTCCTTAATTCATAAATTTTAATATCAGGTGGTAGAATATCATTTACAATATAATTTACTATATCAGCATATCACGGTACATTCATATCATCAATACTATATAATTGTTAATCAAGGAAATTTTCTAAAATTTTATTTACAAAATTAGTTAATAATTCTCTTTCTAGTCTAAATAAATGATCAACTATTTGATTATCATTTCCATTTCTATCAAAGGTTATCTACCACGGTAAAATCAAACTCTAGCAATAGAAGTATCCATCTAATTAATCTTGGTTTAACATCCTTCTTTTTTATCAAGTATTTAATAATAGAATGATCTATATGCACTATACATTTAGTTCCAATTAAGTAATGTTTAAATTTATCAAAGGCATGAAAATTAGCTAATAACTCTCTTTCAGGAGTAGTGTAATTGATTTGACCATCATTTAGAGTTTTACTCGCATAATATATCACTTTAAAAACTTTGTTGTGCCTTTGTCATAAAACAACCCAGATCACTAGCATTGCACATTATTTTGAGTGGTTTTTCCCAGTCAGGTTGAACTATTATAGGTGCAGTGTTTAATTTTTCTTTCAATATTTAAATAATTTTATGCATTTCTCATTAAAATCAAATTTCGTAACTTTTTTTATAGAAGTTGGCATAAGGGCTGTTATTTTGAAGAAAAATTTTATGTAACACCTGTAGAAACCAGAATGTTTTAGAAACCTTCTTACCCCTATAATATTAGTAGGAGGTGGTAATTTTTCAATAACTTGAATTTTTGCAAGATCTACATCCATGTTATTTTCAAATATTTTATGCCCAAGTACAATTTGTCCTGCAACCATAAATTAACATTTTTCCTAACTTAGTACTATATTGATTCTTTCACATACTTCCAGAACTTTTTCTAAATGATTTAAACATAATTCAAATGAAGTCCCAAATACAAAAAAATCATCCATAAACACTTCCATTCCATGTTCAATAAATTTACTAAAAATTGACATCATACATCTTTGAAATGTTGTAGGTGCATGCATAGTTCAAAAGACATTCTAAGAAAAGCAAATGTTCCATATGGACTTGTAAATGTTATCTTCTCTTGATCCTCTAGAGAAATTTGAATTTGGTAATAACTGGTATATCCATGTAAAAGAAATAATATTTATTTCCAGCCAATCTATCCAACATTTGGTCTAGAAAGGGAAAAGAAAAGTGATCTTTTATGGTGGTCATGTTTAATTGTCTATAGTCAATAAAAATTCACCAACTAATAACTTTTTCTTATTGGAATTAATTCATTTTTCAAATTTTCTTCAACGGTCACTCCTCCTTTCTTCATAACACAATGAATTGGACTTACCAAAGCATTGTCTCAAATAGGATATATAATTCCAGCATCTAACCATTTTAAAAAAAAAAATT